GATGCAGTGGGAGAGCCGGGAGGGTAGATCGTTGGTAGAAGAGAACTGAAGTGAAGTGAAGTGTAGTGTGTATGAGAGAGAAAGAGAAGAGTGACGTGTGCCACGGAGGTCACCTCGTGTGTTTCCCCTAGTCACCGCTACGCTACACGAGCGCTAGTGTCGCACGCCATCACCAAGGTCAATACACGAGTACACGGATTTGGATGTAGATAATCTCGATTCTTTGGTTAGCTTCACCGCTTCACTTACACAGATTGACTTTCCCCCGCTTTTTATCGACTGTTGATTCTACCCTTGCGTAGATTCACGTGAGCGTTTGCGTTGACCCTGTCACATGAAGCATTGGATTTTGTTATCTTACAATACTGTATTTTGAATATAAACAGTTGTATCAATTAATTGAGGATAAGTAGTTCGTTTGATTGTACGAAAATTATTTCAACTAAATATATCTAGGCCAAGCTGTAAAAAAACTCACTGTAAGAAGACGCATATTTTTATACGTTTCATTGATACATAGAGTATGCAAGACGTGAGAGCTGCAGCTGGGCTGATGCCTAAAAAAATTATTTACGACTCGTTAGTCGTCGTTCAAAACAAAAGAATAAATTTAATAAGAATAACTATATCTGGTGCTTCGTTAAGCAATGATTTGACCTACACTACAGCAATATTTATGTTATGAAATGCCATTCAATAACTGCTCATCTTCATGACGTGTACCTCAGTCGCTATTATTATAAATAATCGTAAAGTGTTGTATAAATAATCAAACGTTTCACAAAGATAGAGTCAGTAAAATATATTTAACCTATTTTGATCAGTATGGCACAAATACCTGACAGTCCAAGGTTATCGTCGGACTGTAATCAAGAATAAGAAAACAACAATTTACTTAAGTAATTTCGTAAAAATACAGATTTGTAGATTCTGAACTATGAGATTATTTAACTTACACTTATACAGATATAACCTATAATCCACTATATTCAATAAGTTGTATAGTTTGGGAAATCATGTTACTTGGAAATACTTACTATTTACCCACAAAGGTTGGAAATAACAACGTTACTTCTAAGTAAAGTGCAAGGAAAAAACTACAAATGCGACGCAACACCATCGAAGACACGTGTTGACCTCCAACCCCAGCCCACACCAGACAAAATTTTGTTTGTGTAAAAAAAATACTGTACCAATAAACTTTTGTGAATTTCTTTAAACCAAAAACCCGTAAATATTTTCTTAAATCAGCCACTCAACAACTCAGAAAACATGAAAAAATCCTGTCACAACAATTACGCAAGTGTAAATTGAGATTTGAATAATGATTTATACAAATATTTTCTAGAAAAATGAATATTTTTATACGAGTATTTAGCGTTTGAGTGCTGAATAATTTTATCAAAGTGTACTGTTGTATCTTATTTTCTATTTTATCTTCCTGAAACAGCTCACAATTAAAATTTGCTTTTTTTTAACAGTAGCCTAAAGTCATGTAGCAGGTTGAGTTCATGCACCAATGATTATAAGCGTATCACTTGATTCTGGCTGACAGTCCATTTAAGTGATAAAATACCGCCTTTGTTCAAGCTCCGATCAATAACGCTGCCGGCGCACGCGCCTTCACAACATTGCGCGCATTCTAGCGGCGACACCGACAACCAACACAAACACCTTTTGTTTGCCGCTCTTTGTCCAAGCTGTTTATCTTCAGGTTATAACAGCGTTTGTAGAGTTATCATCAAGGGGTTCCCAATACACTAGAACCATTGACTATTTCTAGTACATAGCCTAATGTTCTTTTAGTAAATCTATATAGTTACAAATTATTACTGTATCGGGAAACACAACTGTACACTGAAACCATGGATAAAACATGTACAGTAGTAGGATCTCGTGAAACTGTGTCAGAACAGAAATAAATTTTCATAAATAGATCTATAGCTTAAAAACAATGTACCAACACACAAGCATATACTGTATTCTACTTGGGCTTGTATTTACAAACAGTTATTTTATAACAGTTAATTTGGAAATACTAAAATTTAGTAGTTTAACACTTATGGAAAATTCCATAGGTTCTTGCATGGTAGGGGACTCACAAATCATCAATATATCTAACTATAGTAACGGGCAAAAAGAACATAATCAAACTGTACTTGCTCTGTGCGGGGGGGAGGGGGGGGGGGGTTAACGGGGTCGCGGCCTGACCGAAGATGTACAGTAAGCAGGTCGCTCAACACTTTCAGCAGGATCTCGGGTACCAATGCCCCTCTCCCGGCTCCCTGCCCCCTTGATATTCTGGTAAACCCCCTTAGTGTTCGAACAGGTTGGATATTCCTTATATGAAATATTTTGACAGCCTGGGGAATACAATGTGTTGTCGGATTTGTTCAAAGTAACCCACCGCGTTTCTCAGACGATCTCTGGTAAACCCTATGACTCTTTGGGCTTTTCAGAGGATACATTCTGACAGTTTGTTGATATTGTTGGATTTTTCTCTGTTAAAATAGGTTATAGAGTCAAGTCCCCCGAGGTGGTCTTTAGGTAACCTTTAATTGGACCAATTTTAGTTCCTAATGCTGATTTTACCACAGTGTTAGCCTCTGCTTGTGAATTTAGATTGTGGAGTAAAGAGACTTTGCGAAATTTGACTTTTTAAATGTTCAAGGTTTAATTTTTTTCCTTTCGTGATCATCAGGTAACCTTTAATTGGACCAATTTTAGTTCCTAATGCTGATTTACCAGTGTGTTAGCCTCTGCTTGTGAATTGGGATTGTGGAGTAAAGAGACTTTGCGAAATTTGACTTTTAAAATGTTCAAGGTTTAATTTTTTTCCTTTCGTGATCATATTCTATGTGATATTTGTGTAAGATGGTGTAAGTGAACAGTATTTAGATTTTTTTTTTTCAAGTAAAATTGTCATTAAAATAGCCCTATTTTGGAAACACTCTTATTACAAACAAGGATTCTAGGAATCACGACTGGTTCTAGTTGTAAAAGCCATTTCCATAATTAATTCAACTTTTTAATGACCTAGCGCAGCCCTATATATTTTAACCTAGGCCTACTTTTCGGTAATCCTATCCTGCCCAATGTGGAGCTTAGTAAATATACTAAGTAAACACATCCAATAGATTTCCAACAACAAATGTGATGCATTTTCTCCAGCGGGACGAGGAGACGTGGTGTCGTTGCCCTCGTGTGAAAGTGGAAAAGAAAGTTCGTCACTTTCATCATCAGCTGGACATCTACCGCTCCAGGAGGACAACGCAGAGGCAGTACAATACGCTGAATAAACTACGCACAACGCAACGCAGTACGCATTGTGAAAAACGTAGTACATTGTTGTAGAACGCAGTACAGTAGATACTACCCAAGCAAGTCAGTGAAAATGAAGTGCAAGAACACCGTAGAAAGACTACGGATACATGGCTATAATTGGGTGTACATAATTTATGATTGAAGCGTTTAAGTAGGTTTTCATTTTATGGGGTTGACTCCTTCTGTACTGTAGTCTAGAGTCAGCTTCAAACAGATCGTATCCTTTGTTTTAAACACGCATGAAATCCAAAAGCGAAAACACTAGTGAAAAACTAAATTATGCATAGCCCTACTGTCCGTATTGACAAGCAATTTGTTGCTTGAGTGAGTCGCTGAAACCTCAAATTATTTTTGAATAAATACTGTGTATGTAAAAGAAAATAGACTTCATCTTATTCTTAAGCATTTTTCGTGCGGTCAGTTTTGTATTGTGATCACCAATTGTCTTGTTGTGAACTTCTCTTTGCCATTAGGTTTAATACAAGAAATCCCCCTCCCAATTTGTTAAAAATAGCTGTGTAGAATTAAACTTTTAATTACATTACAGCAATATAAAAATGTAGGCTACTTCAGATTTAAGCATCTTGAAAAATATAATGACAGTCTGGAAACATACTGCGTGAGAAACATAAGTATAACATTTTACTCGTGTTGTAGCTTACAGAAATCCACAGCTAGAACCTTATCACCGAGTGACCTTGGACTTATTTCGATAACAGATAACACTATCAAGTTGTTGTGCAACTAACGATATTGAGCGATTGAGAATTAGACTGGTCCAAACCAACCGACCCCACAATGGGGAGGGGGCTACCGGTCGATTGTATAAGGGTGGGGGGGGGGGGGGGTGCGCCTACACCTTCGAACTTCAAACAAAGCGTCGTCAGTTCATCTACCAACCTGTGAGCTGTTTGTGTATTGATTACACCGGACGTAATGCGTTGGTAACAACATTGTTCTTGAGAATAAAAAAATAATCTAATTCCTGTTGTCATACAATTTGTATATAAGTAGGCCTAATGTTTTCTTTTTTTCAAAGCCAGGGTACTACCATAGATGAAGTAATATAAAGAAGTAATATAATATGAAGTAATATGGTGTTTATTTATTCTATGGTACTACTTTTTTGACTAGTTGTAGACACATACAACTTTATTCATCACTATAACCTTAATTACAGAGGTTACATTCCATGGTGGACTTAAGTGGTGTCTACCACCAGTCGATGGTGTCTATAGCAAATTCTATTTGTCGTCCCCTTCCGCTCTCCTTTCCTCCCTTGCCTACTACAGCACGAAATTCCTCTCCACCATACCAGAGAGCTAAAAGCGAACGGTTGTCCCAACAGCTTGTTTCCTCTGTGTCTTTCTCATTTTTGGCTGTGCGATCTCCATTTTATACCACAGGTACGTCCAAAAACATAGATTAGTAAGATCTTACTTCTCTGTGGTCCAAAGCAGCAATAAAAAAGGCGATCTTAGTTTCTCTAAAATGTGTTTAAATTATTTGCATTCTCTCTGTAATCAAACTACGCAGCTCACAATGAGATTTACGTTCACCAAATGGAGTGAGGGTGGAATTAACAACTGCCAAAGAAATATAATGTTATAAAATAATAAGGTTTATAATTTTCTGTGCAAAGTATGACGTTGACATTTCTTCACAATTTACCTTAGCTTTAGATCAGTTAGTCAGAAGAAGTATACAATCCAGAATAAAATTTCTTACCACTCAAGTTAGCAGACTGGTTGGGAAAAACCGAGCACAATGATATTTCCATATAAAATTTAATTCAGTATTTAAAAAAAAATAGCCTTACACAAACATGTTCATAGCCATGACTACTGACTAGTCATCTTGTGAAACTCCAACAAAGTTGAAACAACAGTAAACACGTTTGTATAAAAATTGTGCATTTTACCATGGTATGGTTGAATTAATTGATGGGTTTGAGTGCTAGGTACCAGAAAGATGATATGACTGAAACATCAGTAACATAGTCAGAATGTGGTTATTGGTGCTGAAAATGCTTTGAAAATATATCTGATATCTGTCCTCTTAACTGCATTGCTTCATGGAGAGAGAGACTGTTTAGAACAGGCACAAATGATAACAGAAAAGCTTTGTGACCAAACTGGTCACTGTTCTTCTCTTCTCTTTGCATCTCGACCAACTGAGACATACATCTCGTCACGTCATTGGCTGAAGAAACATTCCGCAGCAGCGATGATCTGGTCTGCAGCATACTCTGAGCCAGCTTTCTTTTCACTGCTCTTCTACCAACACGAGCAGTACCGTAGGAAGAGTTAGCCCTGGTCGTCACACGATGAGTATCATTGTCCATAATTTGCTCTTCAAATGGATCACATTCAATCGTACTTTGTAAGATCTCCTGGTCGCCGTCGCTATTCTCTGCGTCGTTTGTCCCCCCTTTGATGAACGGAAGGAGAAACTGCAAATGTTCGGAGTAACAATATCTTTTCTTCGTATTTCCACTTACGTAAGCCCTGTGGTCTTTAACAAAGGAATCTCTTACACACTTCCACTTCCTGGCCATGTCCTTGACTGAAAAAAGAAAATACGCATTAGTTGAAATGGTTCTGCGAGGAAAAACATATTTACGTTGTACAATAAAAGTGAGTCAAACAATCTTATTTGTATTATAGGTGTAATGATGTGCAAGAATATCAGATTTATAAACTGGGAAATTACCTATGAAAAATTCTAAATACAGTACCCTTTAAAAGTCGTAATTTGAATGCACTAACTAACGAGATAGCTGGGAGAGTTCATCGGGAAAGGTCAAACCTCGAGAAATAATTTTATCACTTGGGTATTTAGAAGATCTGCCTGGTAAAATCTCCATCTTATTCTCGACAAACCTCCAATATCATCAGTTCGCCACCTTACTGATTAGCAACCTCAACAGGTCGAAATGTAAACATATAGCCATCAAACCGGATCACCAGGTCGCCATGTAAGCAGGTAAACACCTAAACGGATTACCATTGGCAGCTTTGTAACCAAGTAGACACCCGAACAAGGAAAAATGAAAATATCTCCTTGAAACCAGGTAGACAATTGAACGTGATCGAATAAACATTTTGCCGTGTAGGTATCAGGTAGGCACATAAACGTATTACCAGGTTCAGGTTCATCTGTAACCACTAACCAGGTAAACATCTGACGGATTTCTTGGTGGATAACAAGGTTGATATGTAACCAGGTAAACACATTAACAAATTACCAGGTTGACATGTAACCAGTCAGGTAGACTACTAGACACATTATCGAATCACCAGGTTGACATGTAACCAAGTACACAGTTTAACGAATCACGAGGTTGTCATGTAACCAAGTAGTACACACTTTAACGAATCACGAGGTTGTCATGTAACCAAGTACACACTTTAACGAATCACCAGGTTGTCATGTAAATGTAACCAAGTACACACTTTAACGAATCATGAGGTTGTCATGTAACCAAGTACACACTTTAACGAATCATGAGGTTGTCATGTAACCAAGTACACACTTTAACAAATCACGAGGTTGTCGTGTAACCAAGTACACACTTTAACGAATCACCAGGTTGTCATGTAACCAAGTACACACATCACGAGGTTGACATGTAACCAGGTGGACACATTAACCAAATACCAGGTTGATATGTAAGTAGGCTAACACATAGAAAGATCTCTCGGTTTTAACCTGGCATGCACCTTATACAGATCACCAGTTCGCCGCTTAAATCGCAGAATCATATAAAACAGCGGTTTTGCGATAGCATTGACTGCATTTGCAAACAGGCATTTTTTACCCCCTTGCTATCCTACAATGTATGAATTAGGGCTTTGAATGGTTTAAAATATGTACCTCTTTAAAAAATAAAGTGAGATTTGTAAGATTGTAAGATTGATTGTAGGATATCAAATGAAAACAATTTGAAAAATACCCCCGCCGCAGCAAAACCTGCAGACTAAGCGAATTTCCATTAGCCTGATTAGATTTACACTAAAATGCCTCCTTAAAAATATCACATTTATTCCCTATTTAAATAGAATTAGTTAAACGAGTACTTAGGTATGCTGCAACAGGGAGGGTAAAAAAAAGTTTTTTTAATGTTAATAGTTTGGTAAGAAATGAATGTATTTTCCAAATTTGATCAAAATAGTTTCATAAACAAACAAACTACAACAGTTGACTTATTCTCCATAAGAATAACAAAATAATTTAAAATTTACAATTTTTCGGAATTTTTTCCGCAACCATTAGGCGCACAATAACGCTTCACAATACGAGTATGCTAAATTATTAGCTTTTTTAAGCTCTACAAAATGGTTTGTAAAAAAATAGAGAACTCTTGTGTTTTTAGGGTCAAAAATGGGAAAAACCTATTTTCACCCCATAAAACTCCCATAAACCCCCGTTCCCATAGTCCGATCATGCTGGTTTGCGAACTCGTTCGAATAAATGTAGGTTTACACGTTTATACAAAATTTCATCAAAATCGGATAATTTTTGCTCGAGTTATCGTGCTAACGGACATATATATATATATATATATATATATACTGTATAAATAAATAAATATATATAAATATATGAATTTGAACGGATGGTGTTTTTGGCCTCTAGGGACCTCAAAACGAAAAAGTAAATCGGTCCCGGGTCCAGGTCTTAGGGTGCGTTCACAAAGAAAGCTGGTTACAAGCACTTGTTCGCAAGCGCTTGCAAGCTTGAACCGGCGTAAGAAAAGTCAACATAGTATCAAGCGTGTGTGTTCACAGACAAAGCTTGTGCCGGCTAGCAAGCGCTTGTTACAAGCTCTGACAAGCACGCAAGAACGTTTCGTACTTGTTTTCCGGCGCTTGTTGGCCGAACCAGTCAGTTACAAACTACTAACAGTGCAGTATGGATGTCAATGAGTTGATAGCTCAAGTATTTAGAGCTTCCAATATCACAAAATATATTACCCACGTATTGTGGTTTTCCCCTAGAATGTTTAATAACGTAACCAATAGGACAAATATAACATATATGTATTAAAATTATAGGCAAACACATTTAATTCAATATATTAATTAAGTGTTGGATTTTTTATAGATGAAACTTGTATACTTTTACTTTATTTACCTAGAAAAATAAAACATTTGTATATTCTCACAATAATATTTGCATCATAATTAATCAGCTACCTGCATAGGGTGTTTAAAACTCCCTTCGAATATTTTTTAGGTTTTATTATTGGTCCAAAATTCGTTCTGGTGCATGGATAGGTTGCTTCCCAATTTCCCCAAAACTTCACTAAAACACATTCAATTTTATTGAGGATGTAATTAAACGTGGTTCACTCTATTCTCATATAAGAAAAAAAACTCACTTTATCCAATTTCATTGAGGAAATAGATGGTGGTGTTCACCGAACCTACCTCTTCTGCGGTTAATTGCATGAACACCTACTTTCCTTTTACGAATTTTTAATTCTACATTTTCAATCAAAAATAACTCTTCATCACTTGAGGAAGATATTGTCTCAACCAGAGCTGAGACTACACTGAGCTAGAAATGCAAGCGTTTGTTGTGAACACACAACAGCATTCTCAAGCGCTTGTTCCAAGCGCTGAGAGTAAGTTACTTGTAACCAGCTTTCTTTGTGAACGCACCCCTACCATGAGTACTACGGTAATAGCTTATTCCCTATATGGGAAATTCGCTAAAACTACAAAATAATACAAATAACTCAACACGTTCGCTACTGCAATAGTACGAAATGTTCCATTCACATGGACCAGCGACGCACATATGCGACGGCTGGTTTCCACCCATAGACTGCCGTCGCATATATGCGACGGCTAGTCACATTAAAATAGACTGCCGACGCATATGTGCGTCGGGGTTCTAATGTTTTTAAAATGCTTATATCTTTGTAGTGGTCTATTTGAAGGCACTGAATTCCCTGCAGTGGTCTACAGAGATGTCTGACGCACAACTGCGTCGCTTGGTCTGTGGATATGATGATTGGTGACGTCATATAATAGTTGGAAAAACTGGTCTTTACTTTTCTGCATCACTGTATGTATGTATGCAGTATGTATGCTGCATTATCCTACGTCGCTTTTATATTTGTTCAGTTATAAACTTTTCTTGAATAATCTGTTTATTTCTTTACTTACTTTCACCTTAAAACACAAAAAAATGAACTGTCGCATATATGCGACGTGTAGTCTATTTCAAGAAAACTATGATAATTTTCACTATTGTCTTCGCTGTAGACCGGGTGTCGCAAATATGCGACATTACAAAAGGTTATAAAAAATACAAATAAAAAAGAATAATTTATTTACAAACACGATTGTAGCGTATTACAATGTAAATGATCACTGTTTTACAGGTTTTCGCCCGTGGTCTGTGTGTACTGTTATCCAAGTGACAGTCGGTCTATGTGTAAGATTCAAATGTATACCTCGGTCTGTGGCAATGACCGCGGCGTCGCATATATGCGACGCTCAGTAGCGAACGTGTTAAACACATGGGTGATTCCCCACATAGGCGATGCCCGTGCATAGAAAATGAGTTCAGGAAGAAGTATGAACCGGGAGGAGAAGAGATGAGGACCTGCTCTCCTGGGTACTTACGCATTATATAGGCCACACCAAATAATTATAACCTAACCTAAACTAAGGGTGGTTAGGTTGTGTTAGAAAGATTTTGTAATTTAAACTAATTAAAATGTTATTTGGAAGAGGATTTATTTAACAGTAAACACCATTTTACATTGTACATTTAATTTTTTTACAGATGGCCAAAGGTGAAAAACAAGAAATAGTAATAATAACATGTGTGGGTCCATTACAGCTATCTACCTACACAGAGTAATCGCAACAACTTTGAGAAAAATTAATAAATATTGTATCACAGCAAGTAAGTAGGCAATAATAAATAACTAGTAACACAAGCAGAAACAATAATAACAATTAATATTAACTTAGTAAAATCTAAAAATAATCAAAAACCCAATTTTTGAAACGCTAAAACAAAAATAGCATGGATGCAAAAGCAACAAATACAAAAGAGGACAAATTGCAATAGGTACGCCAATGGTATTATAAACTCTGAATATTTTAAAAACTTAACAAGAGACAAAACAAGATGAACCATAAAATATTAATACATACTAGGTGAAACCCGTCGAAATCGACGGTTACTTTCAAGGCTTGCAACTGATATAACTGCGACAAATTGAGTGAAATTATACATATTTTGAGCATTTAGCATTGTTTAAAGAGTAATAAGTGTAAAAACAATAATGATATTAATTGCGTTAGTTGCCAAATATGGTTGATCATTCAATGAATAAAATATTTCCCATACTGTACATCATCGGAGTTATTATTAGTATGTTAACTGGTACATCTTCTTTTAGAAGAACCTTTAGATAGTATTAAAATCATATTGGTGGATCTTTTGTAGTTAAAACTTCCGCGATTTCATCTGTCTAATAAAGATTAATCTATGATTTTATTTGAGAAAAATATCTGTTTATTGAAAAGACACGTTCTAACTTTAAAAGGGAGGTCCATCCGTTGCAGTGCAAGTTTGATTTTTCCTTCGTCATGTCACGTCAGTTCATATCGTACTTCTGTGCCAATAAATAACCATCAAGCATAGTTTTGGGAAATCGGTTGGGGGGATGTTGAAGCTTATAAGACACTTCTGCACTTGTATTATTTTGCATTTTATTACACAATCGAAGATTTTCCCAATGATTTAAAACATGTATGGCAATAATCTCATAGTATGATAAAATATAGCCAAAAGTGGTGAAAAAGACAGACACCAACCCGTACAATAGATATAAGATAGTTCAATAAGAAATAATTGTTAAATAACAGTTACTGTGATAAAAGGATTTTCCACTGATTTCATAATGGAACGTTATACTGTATTGCAAAATATGACATGATACAGAAGAAAATCAATTTTAAAATCAGAAAATAACATTGCAAATACTTCTTTTGGACAATTCAGTAACTCCCAATAAATGTGTGTTGTTTAAAATACAATTTTAAATTAACAGCTGTTTCATTTAAAAGTATTATCCACATGGACAAAATGTAAACAAATCTGTGGCGGGATCTTTAAGGGCTTCTGGGGCAGAGCCCTAACGGGATTCACTTAGTTTTTCTTTTGGTAACTCATCTAGGGACCAAGACCTTTCTTTGGACACCTCTACCAAGTTTCTACGCCCAGTCGTTCTCTCAAATTCATGGAGACAAAGTTTCCAATTAAATATTTGGATTCTTCCATGTTAATCTTATGGGAGAAAATCCAACTTTGGTGGAGGATCCTGCCCAAACTAATAAAGATTTCAAAAAACGAAAAAGACTTTGCAAAACTACAGATCAGGGCCATTCATTTGACACTTTAATCATCAAAATCGGTCCAAAAATGAGGGAGGAGTTCTGTTTACAAAAATCGGCTTAGCGTATTATATATATAGATAGATGATTTATCGGTGTAGTCGGTATACTACGCAAGTACACTTCACAGAGAACTACAATAATGGCATCAACTTAACTTATAAACTGTATATGTGATTATCAATGTTGAGTTTTTATGGGATGGGCTTGATCCTAAAACCTGGAATTCTTTATAGTATTTCGACATTGTTCATAAGTTTTAATATACTGTAGCCTATGTTAAGCAAAAAATAAAAGTATTCAGTGCAAAATCCTAAAAACCTGATTGTTAAGAATTTAAAGTGGTTTTCACTATTAGCATTAGGATTTAGGAAGGTATGAAACTCAAAATTATGTACTTAATAATGTACGCAATTATGTACTTAATCTGTGAGGGGAGAGGGGAGCAGGTTACAAATATTATAAAAGTACCCCCGCCGCAGCAAACCTGCAGACTAGCTAATTTCCATCTACCTGGCTAGAATTACACTAAATTATTCCCTTTAAAAATTGTCAGATTTATTTCCTATTTAAATATCATTAATTTTAATGAGTACTTAGGTTTGCTGCTACAGGGAAGAAAATAGGGATTTTTATTGAAATATTGATAGCTTAGTATAAAGTAAACTAAATTTCAAAATTTAATGAAAATATGTCCATAGACAAGCAAGCTACAACAGTGTATTTATCCTCCATAAGAATGACATAGTAGGCTAATTTTAAATTTACACTTTTTTGGGGTTTTCCGTAACCGTTAGGCATACAACAATGTTTCAATTTACTAAATTAGGATATTTGTTTTTTTGAGCTCTACAAAATGGTTTGGAAAGAAATTGCAAAATTTTATGTTTTCAGGGCGAAAATAAGAAAACCCCATAAAACCCTGTTCCATGTTATAACCCCAAGCAACAATCATTCGCACTCCCCAGAATGAACCCACCCACACACACAAACAATCTCATAAGTAGCCGCGCGCCGCTTATTCGTCGACTCGCTACGAACGGAACTAAACAGGCGGCTATATAGTAATCACAATATACCTAGTTCATTATTCTCTAACTCGTTATAAGCAAAACAGGAGGGGTGAGAAAGGGGACACAATTAGGCGAGATCAAAGAATAAGTAGTAGGACAAATTTTACATTTTTAGTTTCCTCATCCACCACATAAAAAATACACGCGTTAAAAAGATGTAGAAAAGTGACAGCGAGCGCACCGCTTGGACTCAATGTGGTGGTCTCGTCGCCTTTTAAACGGGTTTACAGCTGTTCAATCGCGGCGGCAAACTGGGAGAACGAAAATCCCGCGCTGCAAGACATGACAAACCGCAAGCTCTCCGTTATTACACTTGTCCCTTTTCTCCCATCTGTATCGGTTCTGCATCTCACCATAGATAAAACATACTGATCTCACTCACTTTACTCTGTGGTGGGATTATTTAGGGGGAATAACACGAGATAAATAAATTTCAACGTAACCTATTAACTACCTTCAACTCACCTCTGTGTTCTATCTCGTCATCATCAAGTTCGTCCCAGTCGTCGTACATGGTAAGTCCCACCTGATGCCAACTTTCAGTCCTTTTGTCTCTGTTGTACAACTTACTCTTCAAATCGTACAATGCAGGGTAAGTCTGTACTTCACCGATGAATTTGACAACGTCGAACATGGTTTAAAGAGTTCGCTGGAAGATAACCTCAAAACGCACACGACGAACCGCTGTCGACAGCCGAGCGGCGACTGATGGCGGCTGGCGGGCGGCGGCAGTTTGGCGCGGCGGGATGCCACGTATTTGCCCGACCGCGACAACCGCGCTCTCACGCGGCGGTTTGTTCACCTTCCTCAACTGTTTTGGTTGTGAAGAGCTGAGCGAAATTACGTTAAGTTAATTCAATGGGCAAATGCGCCATTTTATATTAGAGTAGGCCTACGGTCAGTAAATTATTTGAAAGAAAACTTTTAGAAACAGCATGCATAACAACATGCAGACTGTTCCGTTCCGTAAGTAAGAAAAAATAGTAAATAAAAGTTGTAATAGTTCAAAGTTCAAAATAAATTGAAAATCAATATTATTTTAAGGTAAAATTTTTCCAAAAGCGAGCCCCTTCTGTTTGTACTACAGTACTAGTGAGAAAAGTGGTAGTTTAATTTTATCGACTTAAAAAATACAATTTGAACTCGAATTGGACACAATATTTGGTATTTATGTGTTTATGCTTGTGCTTACAACATTGAGTTTAGGATGTTTTGTGGCGAGAGCATAAACAAATCTTTGTGAATTTTTATTATGTTATATTTTTTAATGTTATTCTTAGGTTGTCGGTTACTCATCACTAAAATAAATTACAATTTACTAAAAAAATGTCGAGGTATATTTCAAGTTTACATCAAAACTCATCTTCAGCCTCTAGTAACAACATGAAAGTTTAGCTGAAGATGAGTTTTGATGTAAACTTGAAATATACCTCGACATTTTTTAGTAAATTGTGATTAATTTATTTTAGTGATGAGTAACCGACAACCTAAGAATAACATTAATAATGCCATCACGAAGGAAAAAACATACTGGAATGAATGTTATAATTTTACGATTGAACGGTACACGTCAACCTTTTCTTATTAGATGTATTACTGTATTGTTAATTGGTAGCCCAGTGATAATGCATTCTTTTTGTGTTCTACATGTCAACATGACCGTTTTCTTTCTACGTAACAACCAAAAATTGTGAATCATTTTTTAAATATGTAATAAATAAAACCAAGTGCAACTAATGTTATTTCTAAACAAGTTAGTGTGATAGTTATGATCCAAATGAGGTTCGGATGGGAGAAAAGAGAGACAAGACCGCAATAGGGGAGTTCGGGCAGTGACCGACACTTCCGGTAGTGGCACAGGGCAACAAAATGGCTGCCGTGTGACGTCATGTAAACACCAGACGTCAGAGCGAAGTGCAGTTTTGACGTCAGAGCTACTGTGACGTAGAGATATTAACGCCTGTCGGCACTTGGCAGTCTCTCTCTGTATTTTATGTGACACGTCGTTAGTTAATTGCAATTTTTTCTGAAATACTCAAATGGAAATTTAGTTTTGTAGTGGAAAACGTTAACACTATTGATTTATTAAAGCCTACATTACATTTACAAAATTACCAATAATTATTAAGGTGTTAGTTATAACAGCTGTGCATTTTCCCAAGTGTTTCAATTTTAAGATCAAGGCCTAGCCTATACACGATTGCTGCAAACAGTTTAGATTTATTTAGGGCTAGCAAAAAGTATTAGGCCTATATCATAGTCCAATTGTATTATAAAGGTAAAACTATTATAAAGTACAAAAGTTATTCTTGGAGGGATGAATTTCTTTCCTATTTGGTGAGCTCAATAATAAAAAAATTGCAATAATAATTATAAAGAAATGAAGTAAATTTTTATATTGCTTTCATTTTGTATGTGATTGGTGGCATGATATCCTATACTATAATAAGAGCTATATCTGTTTGTCTGTCTGCCTGGAATATATATCTTGAAATCCAGCGGAAGGATTTTGACTAAATTCCGGATTTAGGTAAGGTACTTATAGCCTAAAACTGTGATTGGTAACAACCACTACCTTAGGAAAATTCATATTTCCCTACACAACTAATTTGAAAAAAAAAATTAATATTGGCCTTATGGGTTAATGTTGGAACAAAATAACAAGTAAAAAGTCAAGCCATCCACAATATACATTCTAGCAAATTATAAAATACAGTATGGTACAAAGTGATAAATATCAGTGCAATAGAGCAAGTCAGTGTTGATAAGTGATGAGTGATCATGTTTTGAGTGCACTGGTATCAACTCAAATGTTTTACTCTTATTTAAGGGTATATTTTAAAATTTTTATGCACTCTTTTTTACATTTTACATAATTTGGACAGCTGTTCATAGTAAATTGAAATTCCATTGAAACTTAAACAATAAAAGCCAAAATTAGTTGTAAAAATGTAAGTTTCCTTTATATTGCTTTTGAAATAAACTGGTTCGGTCCCCCAGTACTACAGTGGTAAAAAGAAAAAAATATTCCATGCCAGTTTGTGTTTCTATTTTTTTAGAATGCAGATAGCTCTATAAAGAAAACAATGTTTCTTCCTTACTTAACCTTTTTCTGACTGATATCACTCACTACTTTCCCATACACTTATGTACTGGTCATGGTACTATGTATGTAATCACTAATCAAATGCATTTAATGTCAACCTTTTTTGTTAGATAGCATAATTAATATTAATAGCACAATGACAGCTAAACGTTATCTGGGCCAAGTATCAACACCAATCAGGATTGAACTGCAACCTTCAGGAGAAAAGCTAAGGTAGAAGAAAAACATTCCATTACCCTAAACAGGTTCATAATTTCAAATCGGTACTAAAGTATTATCCCAGTTTATTTCAGGGGTTTTGCTAGATGTGAAGTGAAGAAGTAGCTGTCCTAAATGATCTCGATGTACTTTCCAATAAGCATGGAGTAAATGAGACAGAAACTCTATCTATCAATAAGATCTGATAGCTGCACAAACTTTTTACTTAGTTTTTGTTAAAAATGTGGAAGTGTAATATTGACCTTCCTGGACTAACACCTTTATGACCAAGGCCCTCTATAAATGCCACATCATCCTTTACAAATCTTGTGAGGGAGGGATTTATCGGTCCTTACCCACAGTTTAGACCAAAGCCCCTCTGAACTGTAAAGAAATGGGTGAGTAAATCGTTAGCTAAGAACTACTCAGTTAATATCGAGAGCTTGAATATATTTAGTTAATTTTTAGCCACAGGATTGTGTGATTGACAAGATCAATAATACCTGAAAAAAACCTCGTCAGACAGGTAATGATTTGTTGTTGTTATGTAAACTGGAGTATTTGTGTTTAATTTATTCTGACGACACCTGAATAAGTGGATCGTTTCATTATTTACTTTGAAATGGCAACCATACGAATGTAGGGTTTTTAAGCCAAGTATGAATGGAGATGAGTGTAGGACTGGCGTGATCTTGTATTCTTGTTAGTGACTAAGGCAGAAATATTCCTTAGACACACAGCTGTTAATTAATAGCCCATACAGCCAATGGCAACTAAGGGACCTACAGTTTATAGTGGAATCCGAACCATATTTTTTTCCTTGTAATTTAAGAATTGGTCTAATTATCTATCAGAATAGTACTGTGGATAATCATAGTACTCACTTGTGTGGACGTTAATGCATACCAGGGAGTATCACATCCAAAGTGCCATATAAATATCTACAATTCGTGACCTCCTAGGACGACGCCATCGTCCCAGTCTTTAGTTTTTGCTGATTTTACAGTTCTAAATATCCACCATAAAATATGTAGCAGGTTTAACTTTAGATTACTTCACTACAAAGTCAATGATTGTCTGACAAAGTTTTTTTAGCTATTAAGAGTAATCATGCTATCAAGAAATCGTGTTTTCCTGTCAGTTTTTTTTAAAGGTAAAGAGAAACACACAATGTATGACAAGGACTGAAGAGGTAAATTTGGAGAATAGGGTTAAGATTAAAACAAAATAATAGGAAGCAATGCGCCTATTACACACTATGACATCACACTTAGAATCACTATGCTCACTATGTCATGCAGTCTGCCTGGTTTTACCCTTATATACAAATTGATTTAAATAGATTGTACAACCATTGACTAACAAAGAAATGCATGTCATGAAAAACGCCATGCGTAACTCTTAAAATAACGTTTTTATTTACAATTACAACACTTTACAATGCATGTTTATGCACCACATAACTTTTTTACAATCTATATAAATAATAAATAAATAAAACGGTAAATCAATACATTATAAGAGTACGGAACTACGTGGGCTTGTCTGGAGCCTGAGAGGGAGGTGAACTACAGGAGGTGGTAGATAGTATTGAGGTGTTGGATGTTCCAGTGGGTTTGCCAAAGCCCCCCACGGGTGGTCGGGTTAGACTCTCCCTGCTCAATTGCCCCGGGGGTCTCTTGCCTACAGTGGTCTGAGGCACAGGCGCGACTACTAAGGGGAGCAGACTGCCGAACAGCACATGTTGTATCACTGGGAATTTGGCCAGAACCTGCAACAATCATCATGAACAATCAACGGTTTAAAAATTACTAAGCAAACCCCTCGCATTAAAAATAAAAATATAAATTTTGAGAATCATAGAATGAATCAAGGCCAAAATATTGTGTTTGACCAGAATATAAGCTCTTTTATAAATTTACAACACAAACCCTTATTTTTAAACACCCACCTCAGCTTTGTACATTTTGATCAGACCCTCGTTGACTTTGCCCCAGTATCCAACTCCGCTGATGTTCCAAAGTTGGTTGGAATGTTCTGCAAATGGACCTGTTTTTACCTACAACAGAAAATATCAATTGTAACTCTTATCTGATTTTAATACTTTTTACATTTTGTACAATTCATTATTGTTTTAAGCTAGAATTAAAGAAGAATGCATGTATTTTATTAGATGCTTATCCTATACTCTAATACGAGCAATGTTTGCTTGTATGTATGTATGTATGCTTGCTTGCAACAAGATCTCGAAAACGGCTCCGACGGCTTTCTTCAAATGTTGTAAATAGTTTATTCCTGACCTAAAAACAAGTTTACTGCAGTTGGAACTGTCAACAAAAATCTAATTACATAGAAAAACGATACTTAAAATCACATTATTTTAACATTAGTCTTATGGGACCATGTTGGTTGAACTAAATTACAAGGAAAAAGTAAACAAAGGACCTGCAAGTTGTCTGTCCACAGTATACTAGCAAATTAAAAATACAGTACAAAAGGAAAAAGATCAGTTGTTACTATTGAGCAAAGATTATACTGAAGATTACTCGATACATTGTAGTCAAGGGTAGAAGTGTGGAGTATAAGATCTGTTTATGACGATTAGATTACGGTGTCTGCAATTCTTAAATGCTTTGGGAAATGAAGGAAACAGGTCCGCGACGTAGGAAGTGATGAAGGAAGTAGTAAAGGCGAGCAGTCCGGAGTGGGGGAACTGTTTATGACGATTAGATTAAGATATGCAATCCTAAAATGCTATGGAAAGGGAGGAAAACTAGGTCCGAGACGTAGGAAGTGGTGAAGGAAGTAGTTAAGGTGAGCTATACAAAGTGTGGGAATGGTTTATGACGATTATATAAGGTATCTGCAATCCTAAAATGCTATGGGATGGGAGGGAAACAGGTCCGCGACACGAAGGGGTGAAGGAAGTAGAAAAGGTGAACAGTGTGGAGTGTGGGAACTGGAAACAGTTTGTAGCAGTTAGAATAATGTATCTGCAATACTGAAATTCTATGAGAAGGGATGGAAACATGTCCACGACACAGGAAATTGTGAAAGAATTAGTAAAGGCTAGCAGTGCGGAGTGTGGGGAATGGATTCATGTATCTGCATTACAAAGACTGCTTTCAGAGTAAACTAATGATTCAGGTACTGAGAAATAATGCAATTTGGAATGAACCTCTTCAATAGAGGTTAATTTGATTGACTTTAAATGAGTATACAGATAAACCTTGCTTATCTCGCATCCAATGCTCCAATACATGCACCGATCTGGCATCATAAAACTTGACTTTTAACACTGAGACTTCTGGGAGCAGTCAGAATAGCCAGGGTAGGATGCTTTTAGGCAGAGTTCTGGTGAGTTTGGCAGAGTTTATGGACAAGCATCAGAAGTCGGGTGAACTTAATAAACTGGTCAGATACCTAACAATGCTCCTTTTGACTACCACCTGTTTTTGTTAGCATTAGCACTATACTAACATAAACGGCTATTTCTAAACAGCACCCAGTAGGTTTTGGTGCCTGTTGACAGTCTTGAACGTACAATGCCACTTGTGGTCTGTGGGCCTTAGCGAGAGGCAGACGACAAGGGGATTTTGGAGATGCTCGTAGGTCCTTTTCAAGCCCTTGGACTTCTCCTGACTAACATTAGACTAAGTGGTGGAAAAATAGGGTGATTGTACAGTAGAGCGTCGATCATCCAAAATAGTTGGGACAGAGAAATGTTAGGATTATTGATTTTTTGCCAGACATCAACGTAATGATTGTTTGAAATAAGCACCATTTTCCTTGGAAGCATAAGATATTTGAGTAATGACTGTTTGAATTAATAATAATTCTAATTTAAATATCATTAAGAATACAAACAACTTAAAGCACAACTGGTAATTTTTGACTCAATTTCAATAGTGTTAATTGAAAGAGGGAAACTTTCTTAAAAATTCCAAAAATATATAAACTTTATAATACAAACCTCATTAATGTACTTGATGCAGCCAAGAAACATGTAGTCCTTTGCAAAAGCATCGACAATGTCAGGCTGGGTAAAGGATCGAGGTTCTATTCTCGGGTGGTCTGAAATATTACAAAAAATATTAATGTTAACAATAGCAGCCTGACAAAATAAATCTAATTTGTCAAACACAATGAACATAACTATTAACTTTTAGTTTGCTTTAAAAGTAAGAAAATCTATGAGGGTTATCCGAAAAAAAAAAAAAACTGATGTTATAGCATGGGGTGTGGCAGTAGAAGTGGTTAGTGCCACCATGATGACAAAATGTTAAGATTTTTTTTTATGAGAAATGAACAAAGATCATCTTTGTGACTCGTTCTGGTGTGTGTAACATATTAACATCACCTGTATTTTGTAATACACTGTATTACACTACATGCGCTCTGACTTTCAGTTCCCCTGAATTTAAAGATTCTGTAAAACACTGGGACTAATTTAGAAAACAAGGCTCAAAGCCTGTCAGGGTGTCTACTGCATCCTGGATAAGAAATTCATAGACAGTTAACGGATACATTTAAGGACATGTAGTAAATGTTGTTTTCAAATATATTTTCCTAATTTGTCAATCTGTACTGACCCTTTGAGTGTCTCGAGTGGGTGAAACAATTTTATTTGAGGTTTGCCAGGCTTACATGTGGTATTGCTTCTAGGTGTGGCGGCCATTTCTCCACATAAAAGTAAGTGTGTGGGAAACAGTCGTAAAATACTGATTTAATAACATTTTTGGCCTAAATTTGTTTTGTTTTGTAGATTATTAGATCGTGCATTGTAAAATACTAATTTTAGATGAGGTTTCATGAGTTAAAATAAAATATATTCACGGACAAGACAGAAATATGTTACAATTTATACTCATTTTTAAGTTTGAGTCAAAATAACTGAAGCCATTCATAAAATAATAAAATAATAGAAGCAATGTCCGAATAAAATCATGCACCCATGGTGCCTAAGTTCAGTGGCGGCAATAAGAGCCCGCGGGCCCCACTGCAAGTTTGTTCGCCGGAATCTTTAAAAACATTATCACATGTATACACGCCTAAACTTGCACTTAAGCTTGGTACGGCATCTCCCGAGGCACCGAGGCGTCATTATCGTCTTCCATGATCGCGGAAAACTCGTGAATACTTCCCGTAGTAATGGAAGAAACATTTATAATAAGACATAAGACACAGTCTACCGTGATTGCAACCAAACCTATGACATCATCGGATAACAACAACATCATCGTCTCCCGCGTTAACGGCCCAATCTCTAATATCTCCCGCGACCCGTGGTGACGGGGAAATAATTTTTTCCACAATAGTGGCAAAACTCTAGATATATCTCTCGCGGAAAAAAAACGTCATTATCGTCTTCCGCAATCGCGGCAAAATACTGAACATCTCCTGCGGCCGCGGAGACATCGTCATCGTCACAAGTGGGAAAATGTTCTCGTCGATAACCGCGAACGCGGTAAAAGCAAAGGCCTAATCTTTCAATTTCGTGAGCTTGATCCTTGCAGATATAAAAGCTTTTACTTTTAATTGAGCATTATTGTATTGTGTACTGAGAAAATTGACTCGAGATTGATTTTCTGACTTTGTGCTTGATGTCTCAAGCTTGTAGGCCAGGCTCTGCTCGGCTCGAAAATCAAAATGATATAAAAATTAACAGTTTCCAAAGCTAACCGATTTTGGCCCGAGGACCATAGGTAAGTAACACTTTTTACCTGACTCGATGCAAACAAATCTAAAGTGCAGCCTCCTTACTATTAGGAGGAAATTAAATTAAACGAAAATCCTTCCTCAGCATCAATGAAAGAATGGAATTATTTATTAGCTAGTGCCCTAGCCACTTAGGTTAGTTCGCCGATTTAATCGTATAACAATTGTCAAGTTCATTTAGTTGAATCAGCATAGAGGGCCCCTCTCTGGTGTGACCTGCCGGGGGCTAGGAGAATTAACATTACCTACTGTTTTATCCTCCTAGGCCGGGGGCCACATTGGTTCTGAATACGGCCCTAATATAGCGTTTCACACAGTCTACAAGGACAGTTGATGCAACCTGCATGACTGATGACAATTCTTTTACTTAGGTTAGTAGGGACTTTATATCAATCAGTCAAGTAATATTATGTTAGCTGTTACAAATTAGCTGTTGTAAACTACTTGTCCTAGTGCTTTTATACAGGTTATAAACAATTTTTGTCATAACAAACGTGTGGCAATTGTTATATAAATATCGTTATGATAGGGGGCCCGTGTGGCTGAGCCTGTCACACAGGTGAAACAATCGTGGGCCTGTGTCCCGGTGATATTTCCCAAAAAATCCTAGTCAAGGCTCATGGGCCCCCCCTAGCTCGCGGGCCCCCTCGCACCGCGGGCCCTACGAGCCCGCAATTGCCGCCGCCGCCTAAGCCACCAAGTCCAGTTACACTTTATGTGACTAGCCAAAAACTATTAGTAAAACACACGTTAACTTATGGTGTTATAACTTTTTAAAGGTTTAAAATGTATTTTTCAATGATTCTGGTAATGAATCATGCAATTCTAATACCAAAACACACTACCAGCTGTGTAAAGCCGTCTTCTATTGATTAATGCGTAATGGTTTTTGATTGGTTAACCACATTTCTCAGCTTCACTGTACAGTAAAAGAGCAAAATAGTTGTTGCCAACCTACTTCTGTCGCATTTGGTACGATTTACAGCCAGCTTGATTGAAATGTGATACTGTATAAAGAGATATTTTATACTTTTCGATGAAATGGCGACCATACAAAGTAGGTATTTTAAGCCAAGTATGAATGGAGATGAGTGGCGAGATCTTGTAGTCTTGTTAGTGACTAAGGCCGACATATTCATTAGACACAGCTGTTAATTAATAGCACATACAGCTAATGTGGTAACTAAGGGACCTACAGTTTATAGTGGAATCCGAACCACATTTTTGCCTTGGTATTTACGAATTGGTCTAATTATCAGGATAGCACTGCGGCTAGTCGTAGTACTCACTAGTGCGGACGTTAATCCACACCAGGGAGTGTCACATCCACAGTGCATGCCTATAAATATCCACAATTCGTCTATAAATATAGATATTCTGAGCGTCTTGCTCTAAAACGCCGGCAACAATGGTGCGCCTCGGAGCGAGAAAAAGGTGTAGCTCAGAAAAAGATTTCCCTAAAAAGCCTTGAACTACTGTGTTCTACAGATAGGTTACGCAACGTAACATGTTACTCAACATATTATGATATTTCCAATACTTTTTTATTTTAATAATCTTACTATTATTATAAATGTGAAAGTTTGTGTGTTTGTTTGTTTGCTTGAAGTTCAATCACGCATAAACCACTGGACTGATTGGGCTGAAATTTTGCATGATGATAGCTCACATTCCCGATTAACATATAGGCATATTCTTATCTCAAAAATCCTTTTGGGCTCCACCCCAGTGGCTCTGTAGTTCCCCATGTTAACCTTATGAGTATTTTTTATTAAAGGGAATTAAAGAATTTAGTCAGCTATTTCAACTAAAAAAGTTCGCTCTATGATATACAAAAGCATTAAAAAGTTATTAAGTTAGTTTGCGTATTAATTAGATAATTCACTAATGCGTATATGATATTCACTTATCATATACAATTACCAGATTTTCTAATTAGAATTGATGCTAACCGGATACGTTAACCCCGATCGTTTTCAATATGCACACCCCGGAAAGGTCCCCCCTGCCATGATCTCCCCCGGTATACCTGCTGTAGGGCTTGGGCTCGTGACTCGAGCCAGCTATTGTTCACAAGGGTAGAGACTGTCCCATATTACCACCGCTCGACTGAACTCGCAAGAATGGGAAGGATTTGGTATTATTACGCAAATGTTGTGGATATTAAGATAAATACAAATTAACACTTTGATATTGTGCTTTCTCTAAACATTTCCCCTTAATTTTATACATCAAATGATGTATAAATTACATAATAGTTTTTTTCCGTCAACGTATAAAATGTATTTGAAAAACGTGGAAATGAAATAAAATGTTTATAGTAATAGTGAGAATTAGGTAAGAAATCAACTCGTATTACTATGAGCATGCTTCAACCACTCAACATCATAATACAGTCAGTGCACACTTGACAAACATATTTTCACATTTCCTAATTCTTAAATTGTAAACATTGAGCAATAAATGCTAATTTTTATACATTTAAATAATTGTCTGGATTTTATGGTAAAATAAATGCATTGAGAATATTCCTGATTTGATATTGGTGAAGGACTCTTTCCCGTAAAAAGAATTTAGAAAGTAAATATTGGTTAGTTTCTTCGGCAATAAACAGGAAAAATCTCACACTGTTTACGTTTGCGTTGACAGAGAAACAAGCAACAGTGTCACATTCACTTTACTTCATTATTTCACACAGCTGATATTAAATAACTAAATTGACATTGAAGTAGTACAGTTATTCCATGAACGGTCGCCCATTGTTTTGAAAGTTACACATTTAAATCTACCTGTAGTTCGCAGAATATTAATACGTATAACTTAAAAGTTTGCAAAAGAACATAATCCTAAGTATAGTATCCACTACTCTCAGAGTATTGATTTATGGAATTCGTCTGTAATTTGCAGACTATTAATTCGTAGAGTACAACTGTATTAATAGCGGGAAGTATTTTTTGTAAAATAGCTTAGATTTCCCCACTTCAGGTATCCCTCCCAAGAATACCTGAGCCAAATACGTTTGTTTAACATAGTCAAGGAAAAGTTTAGTTAGTTATTTACTAAAGTCAGTTTCATCTTTTTACCATAATTCGCACATTAACATAATTCATAATTATCAGTGTTATCTAGCCTATGTACTTAATTAATTTGGAAGGGGTTAATTTGTGAACAGAACCCCTCATTGAGTTTTAAACAGATTTTGAAAATGTTAATGTAATTTGTAAAAAGTATACTCTGATGTTGCACTAACAATAAAACCAGCTCAAAATATGGTAGGGGATTTTCCCCAGTGTTTTCTAGAGACCTGCTACACCGGTTTACTTTTTTATAACCCTCGAAATTTTGGTATATCGATA